AAACGATAGCTCAGTTAGCAAGCTTGCTCCCCAAGACACACATCTCATGTGGGCATGCATGATGGTACACTTCCAGTTGTCCCAACTGTTGGAAGCCTAAGGCAGGAGGATCATGGATTTGAGGTCATCTTGGGGTATATAATGAAACAAAAATACCCAAAATCAAAGACAAAGCATTGTCTTGAGGGAATCCACAATTGGTCTTAATGTCTTCCAGTTTACAGATAACAAACTCTTCTTTATACCCCTGTGGGATTCACCCACCATCCTCAGCTAGTGGTTGCTATCACAAGGCATGCAAATGCAGCTCCCCCTAACTGCTGGCTCCTGCTTTCTTCTGGAAATCAAGCACTGCTCTACCCCCCTACCACCAAGATTTGGTGACTCACTTCTCCAGAGATTTGTCTACCCTTCAGTTCCCACAGCTACACTCCTCTCCATAGGTACCCGGCATCTTCTCTTGGTACCCACCATGTTCCACTAGTCCTTTGAAACTCATTTGGGAATCTGACTCCCCAAACTGAAACATCTGGTGGTCCCAAGGGCAACACATCCACAACCATGAATATGGCTCACTCCTCAACTGGGAAGCATAGATCAAAATGCTACCAGGCCATACAGTTGACAAAGACTATAAAGGAAGCTCTAAGCTGTAGCCAAGGGTCACAGCTCCTCTTTATCCCCCAGCTTGTACTCTCAAAACACAGATGATGCTATTGTCTCCCAGGAGACAGAGAACCAGAGTTCTGGGTCTCAGATCAGCTCCAGCCACCCACTCTGCACAGCACTATACTCACTCTGTAGACATATCCCAAGCCTGCTGTATCTCAGGTTCTGGGGTAAGGCATGGAGATGCAAAGACAGTGTCTACCCTAGGGAACCCCCAAGATAAAAGGGATAACAGATAAATAAATGACTCAGTACACTTAGCCTTTTCACAGGCAGCACACGACCTGGGATTAACAAAGCACTACACAAGATATCCCTTGTGCATCCACACACTATTTCACCCAGAGCCAGAAAGACTTGGGCGGCACATCCCTAAGAAGTCACTAGCAACACCTCTCACGTATCAAATGCATTCCTTGTGGGATGTCTACTAGAGTGGGGTGATAATGTTGCATCATATTGGGCAGTGGGATCTTCCAGGGGTAAACTGGGTCTGGAGATTTAAAGCTGGAGTTCACTGGCCTGGAGATCTTTGAGGAGCAAGGGATGGGCCAAGCGCCTAATGAGTTTGGGAAGAAGAGGAAAAACCCCACATGAAACACAGGAGTGGCTGGGCAATGGGAGACCAGTCTTGAGTGGGTCCCTGAAATGTCATGACAGACAAGGGAGCTACTGCACCAAATGTGGCAGATGAGCCAAGGCCTGTGTGGACTGGGAAGGTGATCCAGTCTAACCACACAGTATCACCGATCCTCTCTGCAAGGTGGTTTGGCCAAAGTGTCTGGAGCTGACCCACTCGGAGCCCTCTCGAGAACGGGAGGAAGGTGGTGGCGCCGCAGACGCGGGCTCCCTTAGAGGATCCTGTTCTGGGTAAAGCAGAAGCAGAATGCTGGGCAGTTGGGAAGTAAGGCACACAGGTGATTGGGCGTGGCTCAGCACAGAGCCTGGGCTGGTGCTCCAGAGGAGCAGATGCTGGAACTCAGGCACAGAAGGGGAGTGTAAGTGACCGGGGTGTAAAAATTCCCTTTAGATTGCTATGAGGAGAAGGTCCATGTATGTGACACTTGACTTGTCTGAGGGACACCCCCATAGCTGGTGACATAGGTGTTATTTCTGTGATCTGTATCTGAGTATGCGTACAAGTGTGCGTACACGTCAGAGTGTGAGTTTAGGTATGTTTGTGTGTCAGTGTGTATAAATGTATGGGAGTGGAGGGCATGTTTGAGTGTGTGAACATATGTAGAGATCTGTGAATGTGCTTAAATGTCTGGATATGGGTGTATTTGAGGGTGTGACTGTGGTAATATGTGTCTATATTTGAGTGAGTGGGTTTGGGGGTGTTTGAATATACAGATGTGTGCTAATGTAGGGATACATCTATGTGTCTGAATGTTTGAGTGTGTTAAATCTGACAGTATTACTGCATTTTGTGTGTGTGTGTGTGTGTGTGTGTGTGTGTGTGTGTGTGTATGTGTGTTTGAGTTTATGTTTGAGGGTGTTTGAGTGTGTAGATTTGTGTCTAAGTGTATGTTTGAGTGTGACTATATGAATATGTGTTTGTGTGTGTAACTGTTAGAGCCGGTGCAGAGGATATTCGGGGTTAGTGGAGTAGAGGGGCTGGGTGTAGAAAGGTGGGAGTGCCCCTCATGGAATTCCACACCTCCCACGCACTGTGCAGGAGGGGCACTTCAAACACAAATATGGGAAAGGCATAAACAGCAGGAAGGGCAGTTGTGCCTGGCACAGGAGTGTCATGCAGGAGTAATGGGGTAATTAAGGAAAAGGAAATGCAAGCTGCATTGTCCAGTAAGCTTCCTGAGAATCTCAGCCCACTGGTGGGCGTCTGCCGTACCCCCATCCCAGGCCAAGTAAAAAGAATGGGGGACCTGGAGGCCACTGCCAGCCCAGCCCCATCCCTAGACCTGACTGGGGAGGAGCAGTGGCCTTCACCTGCGCTATGCTGTGCTGAGGTTCTCCTGGTTGGCCCGGAGAAGCAAGCAACTTCCAGGAGAGTCAAATGGAACCAAGATACCACCATCCGGCCACAACCTGTGCTGGCCAGCAGGGATCTTTCTCTTGAAGGGAAAGACCTGGGCCAGCTCCCAAGAAGGAACCCAGGAATGCAGTGGCCCATGTCTGAACATCTGAGCCTCCCTCCACAGTGGTCTTAAAGCACAATGCTGAACCCATCCCGTCCCATTTGATACATAAAGGACAGTGATATAATGCGGTGAATGGTTAGGCTAGGCTAGTAGGTCTGTGTCCTCATGCTCCCTGCCTCCACCCTGGTCACACCCACCCAAGAGATCTCAGGCTTTAACAGTGGTTAGCATTCCCTTGACTTCTCTTTTTAGCTGCATGAGATAAAATAATTTTTAGGGATGAAGGCATTGCATCTATTTATCTGTGTGTTGTTTATTGGTTTGTTGAGATCAGGCATTTTCAGGGTAGTATGGCTGTCGACAAGGACAGCTATTTATTTGTTTTTCAAGACAGGGTCTCACTATGTAGCCCTGGCTGTCCTGGAACTTGCTTTGTAGACCAGGATGGCCTCAAACTCAAGAGATCCCCCTGCCTCTTCTTCCAGAGTGCTAGAATTAAAGATGTGTGCCACCACACCCAGCTGAAGGCATCACATCTAAACGACAGCTTTAGAATAAGAACTTGCTGCACAGCCAGACAGTGGTGGTACACGTCTTTAATCCCAGCATTCAGGAGGCAGAGGCAGGCAGAGCTCTGTGAGTTCAAGGCCAGCCTGGTCTCCAAAGTGAGTTTCGGAACAGTCAGGGCTGTTACACAGAGAAATCCTGTCTCTAAAATAAAAAAAAAAAGAAAGAAGAAAGAGGAGGAGGAGGAGGAGGAGGAGGAGGAGGAGGAGGAGGAGGAGGAGGAGGAGGAGAAGAAGAAGAAGAAGAAGAAGAAGAAGAAGAAGAAGAAGAAGAAGAAGAAGAAGAAGAAGAAGAAGAAGAAGAAGAAGGAGAGGAACTTACTGCAGAACTGAGAGTGAAATGTCCCAGAGCCCCTTGGAGCTCAGTTAGTCAGGGTTTCAGAAACACACAAGTGCATTTTGTTTTCATGGCAGCTCCTAGGCCTTTGGCTGTGTCAAGGTGAAGCTGAGTATCTCCCTCCAAGCCATTAGCTCTCAGAAACTCATTAAAGTGGGCAATGTCCATAAGCTTCATATTTTCCATGAGAAGTAAATGGCCACAAAAGTAGCTGCTGATACTCTGCATAAAGAATGGAAGGGTTATATGGTTCAATCTGTGGTGGGAATCACAAGGTTTTCACATAAAGCAAGGTGTCTTGACCCTGGCAGAATATATCTGCTGTTCAGTGAGTGAGGGGCATTCTTGCTATAAACCATGGAGAACTGGACAGAGGAAGCGAAGTCTTTTCAAAGATGCATTGTGGATGCCAATCTGAGTGTCCTCAACTTGATTATTGTAGGAAAAGAAAAGAAAAAAGGAGAAAATGATATTCCTGGACTGACAAGTATTAATGTATCTCTTTGGTTGGGGCCCAAAAGAGCTAGCAGAACCTGAAAGCTTTTCAATCTCTCTAAGTAGATGATGTTCACCAGTAAGATTTCAGAAAACCCTTAAAGAAGGTAGGAAGCTCAGAACCAAAGCACTCAAGATTCAGTGTCCTGTTACTCCATGTGTCCTGCAACACAAACATCAACCCATTGCTCTGAGGAAACAATGTACTAAGAAAAATAAAGAGGAGGCTGCAGAATATGCTAAACTTTGGGCCAAGAGAATGAAGGAAGCCAAAGAAAACCACCAGAAACAGACTGCCAAGCAACATAGACTGTCCTCGCTGGGAACTTCAAGTCTGAGTCAGGTCAAAAATAAGCCTTTAAGAGCAACAAATAGCCTGGCGGTGGCAGCGGCATGTGTCTTTAATCCTAGTACTCGGGAGGCAGAGGCAGGCAGATCTCTGTGAATTTGAGGCCAGCCCGGTCTACAAATCAAGTTCCAGGACAACCAGGACTGTTACACAAAGAAACCCTGTCTCAAAAAACAAACAAAAAAGAGTACCAAATAAATAATCAGACCTTGAAAACAAACACTCAACAGGTACTCTGTGTGCAAATGAAGGCCCAACATGGAAGGATGGCTTAAGCTACACACAAGTCTGTCCATACAATGGAGCATCATTGACCTTAACAAGAATAGGGAGGTATAGGCCCGCTATCTCAACACTCACAGCACCAGGAAGGCTGAGGAAGGAGGAGCCCGGAGATGGGGGTGTGTTACAACATGGGTGTGCCTTGGGGAGATTATGATGGTCATAAAGCGACAAAGGCTCTTCCATAGGAAAGTCCATACCTGACCATGAAGTGTTCTGTTCTCTGCCAGTTTGAAGTCCACTAACTGTTCGTGAGGGTCAGTCCTGATGGTCCACTTGATTGGCTTGAGGAACTCCTAAGAGACAATGGGAAAAGCATACCTTTGGGTGTGTGTCTGGAAGAGAGAAGACCCACCCTGAGTGTGGGTGGCACCGACCCATAGGCTGGGGATCCAGACAATGAAACAGGGAAAGGAGGAAAGCCAGCCAACACCATGTACACCAGGTTAGCCTAGAACTCAGAGACCCACCTGCTTCTGCATCCCTAGTGCTGGGATTAAAGGCATCAAAGTCTGGCTCCTCCCAGCCAGCCTTTGGTAGTCTTAATAACTAATATTCCCCATGAGATTGGCACTTAGAAAGACCTTAATCGAGAGACATAGAAAGACATTAGAATTCAAATGTTGACCAGACCTCCCTCTTTTCCTTTTCCTCTAGATGAAGTAAACCGTCAGTAGATGCATTTATATCCGTCCACTATTGTTTGTAATAATCTTAAATCATCAGCCTACTAACTGTTTAAAGGCATCCTGGGTATTTTAAAAGTGAATGGCTCCTATTTACAAACCAAATGGTACCTTCCCAGTCTATCCAGAAAACTGTGTGTGTGTAAAAACTATTACTTTAAAGATTTAGGTCTGCAAGAATAGCTTTCCTGTGTTTATGTTTTTAGAAACTTCATCTGAAAATCCAATCAATGGCATTTGGCAGACAGTGGGTTTCACTTTGGTCCAACAAATTTGTTACAAGTAATAGTTCATTAGACCTAAGAGGATCTTAACTTCACTTAATTTTGTTCTTGAGTTTATCACTTTGCTAAATTAAGAGTTCTTTCCAGAAATCTGTGTTCTTTCCCTAGGACTGCCCAAATGTCATATCACAAACTGCTTCAGACAATGTGTTTAGTGTCTCAGAGTTCTAGAGACTAGAAGTCCCAAGTCAAGGTGCTGGCAGGGCCACACTCTCCTGGAAACACACAGTAGGAGTCTTTCCTTGGTCCCTCTGACCTTCTAAACACTGCCTACAAAGGGTGCCTTGTGGATACCTGGCTCCCAGTCACAGTCCTCATATGGCATTGTGTCCTCTGCCTTTTTCTGATCCTTGTCCCTGATCTATATTTGTTATGTGGATGAACTGCAGCTGAGAGATAGATTTTTTCTATTTAATTTTATTTTATATGTGTGTTACCTGCATGTATGTATTTATACTACTGGAACTAGAGCTATAGACAGTTGTGAGCTGCCCTGTGGGTGCTGGGAATTGAACCTAGATCCTCTGCAGGAACAACACACTCTTAACTGCTGAGCTGTCTCTCCAAGCAGAGGGAGTTGGATTTTTAAAGTATAAAACCTCAGTGCACCAGGGATTGCTCCTCAGCAGCTATCCATGACCCTGTAGGAGCCACTGTTCCAACCAGCCACTCACTCCCCTCCCCAGACACGACTCAGAATCCCTCTCATACTCTCAAAGCTGAGACTTCTCGATGTTGGCCACTTAGAGCCTCTGATGATTAATGTCAACTTGACAGGATCCAGAAGCACCTAGACAATCATCCTCTGGGCATATCTGTGAGGAGCTTCTAAATGAAGTAAAGACTTAGGAAGACCCACCCCAAATGTGGGTGGCCCTCTACCATGAGCTGGGAGCCTTGGTTTACATAGAAAGAATAGTGCAGGCTGAGTATCAACATTCATCCCTCTGTGCTTCCCCACTGCAGATGCGATGGGACCAGCTGCCTCACACTCCCGACGCCGTGACTCCCCTGCCACGATGGACTATCACTCAAATCATGAACCAAAGTAAACCCTTCCTATTACATTGATGTCCTAGTTGAACTGTCAACTTGACACAGTCGGGAGCCATCTGAGAAGAGAGTCTCAGTTGAGGCACTGCCCAGATCCGATGGGCCTTTGGGCATGTCTTAGGGGAGGGGAATTATTTTGTTAATTGATACAGGAGAGCCCAGCCCACTGTGAGCCGTACCACTCCCCGGGCAGGTGATCCTGAGCTGTAGAAAGATGAGCTTGAGGGAGGCAGCAAGCAGTGTTCCACCATGGTTTCTGCCTCAAGTTCCTGCGTGAGTTCCTACCCGGACTTCTCTCAATGACAGGCTATGGCCTGTAAGTGGGAGTAAGCTGCTTCCTCCCCCTGAGTTGCCGCTCGTCAGGGTGTTTTCTCACAGCAACATGATGAAACAAGAACAGTAGCTTTTGTTAAGCATTGCATCACAGCCACGAGACAAGGAACTAAGAGCAATGAGATGTAGTCTCTCTCCAATGACCTCTGACCGTCAGCTGCAGTCACAGTTCTCAGAACCCCAGCCCTGTGGGAGCGTCCGGTGTCTGCAGATGCCTGGAAAGCAGAAGCCAAAGGAATGCCAGCTAGAGACATCAAAGTCAGCCCTGGCCAAAACGCATGGCACTAACTTCCCTGCAGTCTAGCTCCGCTAATTTCAAACCTCTGTTCCCTCCCTAGGCAAGATGATAAACATGATATTTTAAAACTGGTTTCTTCAATACCTCGTACATAGGTGTTCTGGCACAAGACGTATTGATCTGAGTCTTAAAGGGTCTTGTATTAGGGGAGAGGAGGTGGGTCTCACTTTTGAGACCAGAGACTACTGCCAGATGTGTGTGGGATTGGGCCAGATGTTCCACACCACCCAGAACGCAGCCTGCCTGAAGAGCACCTGCCTCTCCAGGGTCAGCTTCCATATTGTACAGTGTGAAAGTCTGATGGTGTGGCTCACTACCATCCATCAATGGAGGCACAAACCACGTAGCCTCATGCATCTGTCTGCTGTGTGTGAATGCCAGGCTTTCATTGGAGGAGTTCTGCTCTCCCCCATATACAGGGCACAGTTCATATCATTCCACCCCACTCTCCCCACCACACCCCATCCCATCCCACCCCAAGTGTGCCTGCTTATCCCATACATACAGTCCATAACATTTAACACAGGGGAAGACTCACAGAGGCCCCTGCCCATGAAAAGGTAACAGACATCAGAAGCTGCAGGGATTTCACTCAAGTTGACTGACTTACTGTGCACACACACACAGTGCTGCCTATCACTGGCCCACTGTTAAGAATACATAGGGAGGGGCTGGAGGGGTGGCTAAGTGGTCTAGAACACCAGCTGCTCTTACAGAGTATCTACCTGGGCTTGTCTCCTAACACCGACGTAGTGGCCCACAACCACCTGTAACTCCAGTTCCAAGGGATATAACACTCTCTTGTGATCTCAGTGGTCACCTGGGACACATGTGCTGCACATACATACATATAGACAAAACACACATACACACACACCAAAATGTAAAATTTTAAAGCAAAAATAATGTGACATATATTCACAAATATTCTAAAAGTCAGTCCTTACAACTTCAGTGTTCTCTTTGTAACCTTGATGTCACCAATATGTCAACCTATGTTCCCTCTCATATACTGAGATTATATATATACTGAGATTATATATATATTCTGAGATTATATATATACTGAGATTTTCCCACCCAACTCTAAGGGTTTTTTTTTTTCAGTCTCATTTTGTACAAGTACACAATGGTTGGAAAAGATCAACTTTCTTGAGGTCACTGCTTTTGTTTTTGCTTGAGTTTTGTTTTGTGTTTTTTGCATAGGTGTTTGATGTTTTTGTATGTGTGTATGAATGTTCAAATGTGTGTAAGGGAGTGAGTGTGTGAGTGTGTGTGTGTGAGTGTGTGTGTGTGTGTGTGTGTGTGTGTGTGTGTGTGTGTGTGTGTGTGTGTGTAGGTGAAGGTTGATCCTGGGCATCTTTATCAATTGCTCTCTACCTTGTAGACTGAGGAAGAATCTTTCACTGAATCCAGAACTCACCATTTCCACACTCTGGCAAGTCTGCTTGCTGTGGGAATTGTCTGTTTCTGCCTCCCATTGCTGGTATTTCAGGCAGGGTACCACACCCTCCCAGATTTCATGTAAGTTCTGGGGGGCTGGATTCTGCCCTTACACTTTCACAACAAGCATGTTACTTCCCAAGTCGTCTCCCCAGACCTCCACTGCTTTTTTAAAGAAAGGATCTTGTACAGCGCAGTCTGGCTTTGGAATTCACCAAGAGTTGTGATTGCAGATATGCACCATGCCTGGCTTAAGATCTCAGTTTGTACACAGTATACAGAACTAGGTGCTTGGACTATGGCACACTGCTTGTGCAAAGGCAAATTTCTGTTGTTCTCTGAACAACAGGACTGAAACCATTAGCAGGTAGGAGCCACATGAACAAGGATTCCAACTCACACTGATGGCCATGACTGGGGAAAATTCTAGTTGTATGATATCGATTTTCATATTTTGAGGATAAACTCCTCAGGGACACAGACTAGGAAAGACATCTGACAGTCATGAGGTGTACAGGGTCCCAGGGTGGGATTCCTCTACTCACTGGGGTTTTTCCATGTGGAAGAAAACTGTCACCTAAACATGGATTTGGGGCTGGTCGGAGGCCAGTGAGAACTGTTCTCACAGCATCGCAGACATCACAGATGGAAAATGTGCCTCAGTCATCCCATCCAGTCCCGGGAAGGGCATTCTCTAACGATTCCACACACAGCCACAGAGTCGGTGCATCCACCCTGTCCCGGGGGAGATCTTGGAGTCAAACAGCTCCCCAAGTTGTAAATTTCCTTTCACTCTTTTCTTGTTACATCTCAAGAGGGTTTTTTTTTTAATGAAAATAAAAAAGAAAGAAACAAGTTAAAAAGAAACAGTTCCTGCTTCTGGCCTTGTTGTAGAGCACTACAGCCATCATCATCGTCATCAGAGCAGATGGGACCACTTGCCAAGAGAACCCCCCGCCCCCCAAGATGGGGCTTGTGGACTGTTGACATTCTATGTATCATAGAAGGAAGGGATGGGGAGCACCCACTCCTCCCACACTCCAGACTATTTGTATGCAGTTCCATCCTAACTGCCTGTAGCCTTTCCATGGCATTAGAGTTAATAAAGTGTAGACGTTCAACGGAAGCCGGTAGAGCCCATCTAGCCAACTATGGGAAGTCCTCAGGCACGCTGGGGCAAGTCTGTCCAGTGCTGGGTGGCTGCTGTCACCCATGCATGCTAGTGACGCCTCCCCCAGCTCTGTAAGTAAGGCCAGTGAACTCATTGGCTCCCCAAGTTGGACTTCGTGAAAACAGCACTTCGGTTTGTCATGGGCACCCTCTAAGGAGGGGCTGCACATTTCTTTATGTCTCCCCAGGGAAAGAGTCCCTGAACTGAGCCTAAAGATAAGTTTCCTATATAGGAAAATGCTCCCAGTTAAGATCAACATCCAGTTCCTGGAACTTCTCTGAATGAGTTACACTGTCCTCAGACACTAATAGCGAGAGTGAACACATTTTCATAGAAATCCCTAGAATCGCACTTTGTTTCGTTGAGGTGATGAATGGGACTTCCCGTTTGCAGGGGACTTTCATCTCCTTCTGGCAACATGCCATAACAGACTTCTTCCCCCAAGGCCTTCTTAAAACCGTGCTTCATGTGATCTTTATCATTCCACGGAGCCAAAAGGATGATCACCAGGGGAATAAATTTCTGGGAGGTGTGTCCTCCATGTCTGTGGCTTCTGTACCTCCACACACCACAGGACTCAATGCTGGGCTCTGCAATGCCCCCTCTATTGCAGTTCTTGGAAACTGTCCACCTAGCTAGTCTCTTATGATTCTTATGATTCTTTTGTCTGGTTCCCAGTCAGATAGCATAGATACCTCTTTTTACACAAAATAAGTGTGTAAAAAAATCCCTCACCATACGTCCTCAGAAGTAGAGTAATCTTGGGTTCTCCAAAAGGTAGCCTTTGTATATGAACTAAAAGAACTAGACTGATGTGTGAGTTTGTGCATATGCATATGATATGGTAGTAGGGCCCTTTCCCATCCCTAGGGGACCTCATCCCCAGGGTCAGCCACCACCTCTGCCCGGAACACTTGAAGAAAAGCAAGGCTATGGCTCTCAGCTGTTGGCTCAGTCTCAGCAGATGGACCGAGGAGACTCAAGGATCAGGTTACCAAGGGCAAGCCCGTTGGCACCATCCCTCCCTAGCTACCAGGGATGTGTGCACTGACCTGGGGAGTTTCTCCTATCAGGAGCAAAGCTCGTGAAAAGTTAAGGACTGGGTGGTGCGTGTGTGCGTGTGTGCGTGCGTGCAGGATGGTCCAAATCCTCCTGAGAAAACAGAGCAAATACTACGCACAGCTTCTTTAAAAGGATGGGCCAAACTTGGTATGGTGTCACATGCCTCCAATCTCAGCACTTCTGAAGCACAGAAACCGGTTTACATAACAAAATCCTAACCAAACAAACAACTAAAAGAGACTAGAAAAGAAAGAACTGACTGGGTAGGAGCAGCAACGCTTTCCCCACAGAGGTGCCTACCAGAGGGGAAGGCTCATTGGTGTGAATATGGTGGCGAGGCTCGCAGGGTCCGCTGTTCTGCTTTGTATTATTTTCATCTTTGTGTTCAAGCTGTTGTTTCGGGACTGGGATCCAGAGCTATTCAAAAACTTAACTGGCGACTTTTCTCCTCCCGGCCACTAGGTGGTGCCAAATCCCCGGTTGGTGTCCCACTTCAACTGGGAAACTAGAAAACAAACGAAGCCCAAATGTAGAACAGGATTACAAAATGAACAGGGTGGAGGAGGCAAACGTCCTGAACCCTAAAGCTGGTCTTGGAGTAGTCCCAGAAAGAATCCCCAGTGGAAGCTCTGGCAGCCAGGGCAGCCCCTCGTTCATGGAGCTGCCTGGTGCTACCCACCACGCTGACCCTTCTCTCCAGCTCCCTTGCTTGCAATCCCCAGCCGATTTGCCTTTCCCTTTCTCTTTGTGCGATTGGCTGCTCTCCCCCCTCAGGAAGTGAGAGCTGTTTACTGCTTCTGCATCCACAAAGAGGTCTTTCCCCAGAGATGGCCAAAAGAGGCTCACTCACCCTGTTTACTAGGGCTGGCTGTAAATCCTTCAGTACCAGCTCGTCCTCTGAGTAGGGGAGTGTCACTTCATTCACCGTCCCTGGGAAACTGACTTTCTGTGCATGTCCCTGCGAATTCTGACTGGGGGCAAAAGTATGGGCAGGAGGGCAGGCCTGGGCTCTGAGGGAATCTGTCACAGAACAGGCTTGTAACTGGTATCATCAGGCTGCCGCCATCCCAGGACAAACAGAAAGCCCAGGCATAAGGGAAAGGAACAGCAAGGCCTGATTCCCTGGGAGCTATTATGGTCTGCTTGTGAGATAGTAAGCACGTGCTTCCCACCTGCCTGGAAGCACGGGGCTGAGAGATCTGACCGGCACCTTGCGGTCCTCTCAGGTGAAAGACTGCACCTACCCAAGCGTAAACAAAGACAGGGGTGGGCAGGTGGGAGCCTCTTCCTCACCCAACACAAAGGGCCTGACCAGCATTCCTACAACAGGCAGATTACAGATTGGCAAGACAAAAGAATAATAAATGTACTTAATGACAGATTTATGGACGCTGGAGCCATAGAGAACGAAGCCCCAAAGACCGTGGGGGAAATCCCCTGGGTTTATGTTACATTTTGATGAGGGATGGACAGCCACATTGGAATGTGACCGAGTCGAGGTCAGATGGAGGGAACTCACAAGACCCACACAACATCCTCTCCTTCCGCACACCTAGGGGATAGGACACTTGCAGGTTCTGGGCTCCTTTGGGAGAAAGGAAAGCTGGTTTCTGGAACTTTGGGGGAGAGTGGCAGGTCAGGCGACAGGAGACATGTCAGAAAGGCCTGACCTCATTGTTTTGAGAGTCTCTCCTGCGTCACCCTGCCCATCCTGCTAACTCAGCTCATGCCCAGGGAAATCCCGCCATGTGGGCTTTCCATCCAGGGAAATCTCACCAGGTGCTGAGTGCAGAGTTGAAAGGCCCCTTCCTCCAGGAGCCCCTTTTGTAAGATGAGTGACATCACCTGCGTTCTAGTCAGCTCAGCTATTGTCACAAAGTGCCAGATGGGCAATTCCACCACAGACAGCTATACCTTACAGCTCTGGAAGCTGGAATCCAGGACCAAGGTGAGGTAACTCCATAGATGCCAGCCTGCAGGGTGCAGAGTTCTGCAGTCCCTTTACTCCTTGTCTTAGTTAACTGATAACTACGGTTTGTGTCAAGCTGGCATAAAATAAGCCAGCACAACTGACCCCTTGACAACTTGACACACAAGCATATCACTGTTAAGTCATAACCTTTCCTTTCTTGTTCATCCCCTTTCTTGTTCATCCTACACATCAATACAAATATCACAATATAAAACATTTAATAAACTTTAGAAGTACCAGTCTTAATTCAAAACCTTTAAAATTCAGTCTACTTAAAAATCCAAAGTCTTTTTTAAAGCCTAAAATCTCTCTTAAAATTCAGTCTCTCATCTCTGGGCTCTTGTAAAATCAAAAGTAAATTAAATACTTTCTTACTTCAAGAGGGAAGAACCAGGGTACAATCACAATCAGATCAAAGCAAAACCAAACTCCCAACTGTGTAACTCAGTGTCTAATGCCTGGGATTCACTTACTGCCTTCCATACTCCTCCAAAGGGCCTGGGTCATTCTCCGGCTCCACCCTCTGCAGCACACACACACAGCTTGTCTTCCAAGCTCTGGGAGGCTCCACTCCACAGTTGCTGCTCCTCTTGGTGCTCATTCACGGTACTGGCATCTCCAAAACGCTGGGGTCTTCTGCTGCAATTGAATTGCATTTTCACCCATAGCCTCTCCTGGGTTCTCACAGTGCCAAACCTCGGCTGTTGTCCATGACCCTTCATGATTTCAAAACCAGTACCACCTGGGTGGCTCTCACACAACGACGTTCGGCTGCCAGCATTGGGTACAACCTTGGCCACCTCTGGCATTCAGCTTTCATGTGCTGACTCTCATGAAATACTTCCCAGAAGACTTTGCCTCAATGATACTGGTCTCTTCTTCATCACGGCTAATTACTCAGCTCCAGCTAAGCAGCATCAATTGTCCCAGTAAAGCAAAGGTTGCACTTGGATGGTGCCAGTCTCTTGTTACTCATAGCTGACTCTTCAGCCACAGATGACCAGACACCACAGATTCCTCACACAAATGGCCCAGTGGAGTCTTTGCTTCCTTCTGAAACTTCCCAAGTCAGGCCTTCATCTTTTGTACTGCTCTCAACATTATTATCTTCTAAGGTCCTACAGAACAGCTCACTGTGCTCTCAACACTCAACGGCTTTTGTAGTTTGAAGTTCCAAACGCCTTCCACAATCTTCCCCAAAATAACGTGATTCAGGTCTGTCAGCAATACCCCACTATCCTGGTACCAACCTCTGTCTTAATTAGGGTTGCTCTTACTGTGATAAAACACCATGGCCACAAGCCAATAGGGAGGGGAACGGGTTTATTTTCCTTAGACTTACTTTCACATTACTGTTCATCATCGAGGACAGGAGGAATGCACACAGGGCAGGAACCTGGAGACAAGACCCATTGCAGAGGCCACGGAGGAGTGCTGCTTACTGGCTGTTCCTCATGGCTTCCTCACCCCGCTTAATTATAGCAGCCAGGACCACCAGCCCAGGGGTAACTCAACCCACAATGGGCTGGGCCCTCCTGAATCAGTCACTAACTAAGAAAATGCCCTACAGGCTTGTGTACAGGTGGACGTTATGGAGGCATTTTCTCAATTGACGCTCCCTCCTGTCTGATAACTAGACCAGTGATCCTCAATCAGATATCCTATATATGAGATGTGTGCATTATGATTCATAACAGTAGCAAAATTACAGTTATGAAGTAGCAACATAATAACTTTATGGTTGGGGGTCGCCACAGCCTGAGGAACTGTACTAAAGGGTCACAGCATTAGGAAGGTTGAGGACTACTGCTCCTAGACTCACTGACCCCGTTTAATTCCCAAACACACCTTCAAACATCACCAGATTGGGAGCTGGGACTTCAATACGGCCGTTCTAGGGTGGACAAGAGTTTGGTCTGTGAGACTCCATCATTAGATTGAGAAGCACTAATAATGAAGGGGAGCTCTGCTGAGTTTGGGAGGGGTGACAAGAAGCCGTGGTGGGGAATGAGCCTTAGAGATGGGTTTTGAGAGATGGATAGGAGTGGGAAGTGCATTAAAAGAAAAGATTGTGTCAGAGTTCAGGCAGCATCAATCTTCCTTAATGATTCAGAATGAAACAGTAACAGTGGATCTAATGAATTAATAATTCAAAAAGAACTTAACTTGGCTCTTACCCCCAGGTTGCTCCAAGAACAGCTGCTCTTCTCCTATAATAGATTTCAGATGTCTAGACAGATAGATGGCTACCTAGCTGCTTTTAGAACGTCAGGGACAAGAGGCATAAACAGACCTTGGCAGTTTTCAGATGGGAGAGGTCTGAAAGTGGCTAGGCTGTCTCCATCCGAGTCTGGCTGGCACAGACTCCTCATGGACTTGGCCCACCTGTGATGGTAGCGGAGCTTGGGTTATACCCTCAGCATAGACAGAGCCTGGTGGACAGAGAGCAGAGGGGCCCTGCCAGCCCCACAGGGTCACAGCAACCTTCAGAAGCAGTGGGTACAGAGTGTCTGCAGGGATGCCCACATTTTATGGACAGCTTCCTTCCCCTGAGTGGACATCTTGATCTCTGGGCTAGCTTGCCCCAGTTGCTGCAAGGAAGTGCCAAAGACTGGGAGACTCCAGCAGTCATTCGGAATCGACGACGGAAGCCTGAGCCCATGTTATCGGCGGGGCTGCCTTCTCCTGGGCCCCCTCAACTTAGGGGTAGTTGCCACCTTCTCCCTACGTCTTCCTATGGGCTTCCCTCTGACTAGTCTGACTGGTTTATGGGCCCCCTGATGACCTCATTTAATCTCTGGAAAGGCCATCTCCAGATGCAGCGTGTGCTGAGGGATTTGATAGTTGGGGCTCAACATATGGGGGTGTGCTGGTTATAGTTAGCAATCTCACCATGGCAGAGCCAAGCCTGAGCTGGTTTTGGGGGGCTGTCTGGCACATCCGTTCCCTACACCAAAAGGTCTTCTCCCCTCTACTGGACAACCTCAGGGCACATAAAAGAGGGCTAACTTTTTTTGAGACAGGAAACTGTGAGGATTAGTCTTGGAGGGCTAGGCCGGGCTAGAAGCTGGGTAGGTTCTGGACATCATACTGGAGGTCTTCAGGAGCTTCCACTGGACTCAGGGAAAGGCTGGCCAGGGTCTGGGTGCCGTGCCCGTCCTATGCTCCATGGAAGGGAACAGCTGCTGAAGACTCAACTCCTTCTTTGCATTCTGTGAGCAAGCTAGAGTAGGATGAGGGACTGGGCATCTGCTCATTGTTAGCCCCTGTCAGTCCCAATGACACCTCGTACATAAGGACAGAGCCTTATGGTCCAGGAGCTTGTGGGAGGACTTCCCTGACAAAAGGGACGGAGGCTGAGAACTGCTGAAGGAGTGTGTGTCACCACAGACTGTTCTGTCTAGGTCTTGGCTGTGTAGGGGTTGTTGAGAGATTGTTGTCCAAATCACATCCTCCAAGGAAAGAAATCTTGTGAACGAAAAGAGTGATAAGAGATACATAGGGCCAGCATTGAAAAGAATAGGCTCTTTGTGGGAGTAGCCTTGCTGTAATTGCTGTGGGGGTGGGTGGGTGGTACACACATCCTCACCCTATCCTGTGTGACTGTCCAGGCCACCATATTGGCCCAGTGAGCAATGTGACCACCATACTGGCCCAGTGAGCAGTGTCACCCACACACCCAGTTGCTGGAAATTGGCACGGAAGTCATTATCTTTGTATCTGAGAATCCTTGAAAGACCTAGTTTCCACATGAAGGACTTTGGCCTCAAGAGCAGACTCATACTTCCACTGGAGATCCTCAGAGCTCACACTGACCCTCGCCTATTGCTTGAGGGAGGGCATGGGACACAATTGGTCCC